TTCTAGTCTGGAGTCGGTGGCAGGAACTGAGCTGTGGGGTCCTCCGGGAGAGCTCTGCCCTCTGGCCCAGCCAGCGGACAAGGGCCAGACCATGGGAATATGCTAATCAGCTAATGGGTAGGTCCCAGTTGGGGACAGCACATCTGGCTCTCGGAGCAGCGGTGGTTAGAAATAGACTGGGGTAAACACACAAGAGTCCCCCAGGGCCAGGGAGGCACGGCGGAAGAAGGGGGGCCTCCTGGCTGAACTGCTCCTTGGCCAGGCAGGGTTGGGGCAGCAAGGAGGTGGCGGACAGTGGGGGCTGGCCTGATAGAGAATCGAGGTTCAGCCCCTTAGGTCTGGGGAAGAAAGGGAGGACTCCTGAGCCTGGAAGAGGAGAGACCACCAAGCTGGTGGGATCTAAGACTAAATTTGCATTGACTAAAGGACAAACCCCTGAGGGTCACAGACTGGCATCCAAGCCTGTATCCCTCCAATCTATGAGTATTTTCACTCACTGATTTGCCCAGCAGCTGACCAAGCATGACCAATTTGGGATTGGGTTCATGAATTTGGAGCCTTTGCTTAACCACTACTGAGTTGTGCGACTGTGGCCATGTCACTCCCCCTTTCTGGTCTGTTTCCTTCTACCCAAAAAACAAGATCATATGAAGTGCCCTCCAGGATTCCTTCTGGCCTAAAACCCTACTGATCTTGTTGTTTCATTCATTCCTTCACCCTCCCTCTTTGCTTGCTCAAACCTCTCCTGCTCAGGGCAGGCGGGCTCCTTAATTTCCAGGGACACTCCCTGTGCATTCCTCACTCCCCGCTCCTGGCCCTGTGGCCCTCCCTTCCCCGAATGCCCACTCTCTCGGGCCTGCTGATCCAGGGCTGCCGCCTTGCCACAATACCAAAGAGCTCAAGACAGCCGTGCATATGCTGGTTGGAGAGAAAATGATTTTTATAAAATATATGAAGCACTTTTGGCAACGTAACAAAAAAGGTAATTATAAAGACTACATACAGCCCTAGGAAAAAAGGGGGTTTATGATAATACATGAAAATAGAAAAAATACAAAACATGCACTGTGATTAAAACTACATGAAATTTTGTGTACTCAACGAAAAGGCATGAAATAAAATGGCTGTTTCAGAGGAGTGGGAGTAGGGATGGTTGGTTATTATGTTTCAATTCAATCTACTATTATTGCAATTTTCTCTCTAATATAAACATTGCTTTCGGAATTTAAAAAACCCAGTGCTCTCCTGGACAGGAGAGCCAAATTGAAAGCTGATAGATACTGCAAATGACCAGGATTTCTGTCTCTGTCTTTGTTTCTATTTTCTGAATAAAATAATCAGTGGTGGTGTTTTTGCAGAAAAACAAAACAAAAGACCAGCGCTCTCAACTCCCTCTTGCTCCACCTCCTCCTGGAAGCCTCCCTAACTCTAGCCCATGAGGCTCTTTCCTTCTTTGAATTCCTGTGGCACAAGTTTCTGTCAGCAGGCAAGGCATGAGTCCGGGTCCAGGCTGCTTCCAGTCCTGGCTGCCCTGCCCTCTGGCTACCTGGTGTTAGACATGTCACCTAATCCTTTATGCCTCAGCTTTCTCATCTGCAAAACTGTGATAACTTTCCTACCACATAGGGTACTCAGGTTCCTGAGTTAACGCTGTGAGCATCAGCCCAGTGCTGGGCTCTCTGACATCATCATCATCATCATCATCATCATCATCATCATCATTACTGTTATCTTGCCTTGCTCTCTAGTGGCTTGAAATATATTGATATACTTGTCTTCCAATCTGGCAATAGATTCCTTGAGGCCAGGCCCCTACACCCCTCAGAGCAGCTGGACACACTGCAGATGCACAGTAAGTCTCCACCCCCTGGCTCTTTTCCATGCACGCTTCCCTCCAAGTGCACAGACAGAAATGTCCCCTGCCCGGAGGCAAAAGGACTCCAGAGAGAGGAAGCCTGAGGCTCACCCTAAGCCATAAAGCAGGACGCTGGGGTGGAACACCGCCCCTCCTCCTCCTCCTCCAGGCCACTAGCCATGCCAGTGCCCCTCACCCAGGCTAGGAGATTCCCTGATGAAGACCTGGGACACAGGGACACAGCACAAAGGAGAGAGCACGGCCTTCCCTGTGCGCAGTCAGTGGACGGACCCGGGCCTCAGTGTCCTCATCTGTAAAATGGGGAGGATACAACTGTCATTTTCCTTGCAGAGCTGTTGCAAGGGTCACGAGATAATGTTGGGAATGGGCCTCCAAGAGTACAAGAGCTGGACACACATGCTGATAATTAGCACTGGCATTTGTCTGTCACTGAGTGCTGCCCCTCCCCCACCAGCCTGCCTCGGCTGCCATATCCAGCAAACCCCGAGATGGAGACTCATACCGGAGCAAATGCCTGCAGCTTAGGAAATGGGGTCCCTCGCTGTTCTCTGGAGGGGCTGAGCCGGAAGGGGCTTAGAAAGATGTGCAAGAGGGCCTTTTCCCCCCTGCCTTTTTGTCAGGCCACCTGGACATCCCCAAGGTCTTGGCCGGCCCCTACTGTCAGGCCACCTTCAGCCCCATCCTTGGCACCTGCTGAAGGGGTGCAGAGCTGAGTGCCAGATTCCCTTCCTGGGACACGTGGCAGGAAGGGAGGGGGCAGCAAGCTGTGGGAACAGACTGACCCAGGGCTCTGTGGGGCCTGGCCATGTGGGAATGGCGTGGTGCAGGCTCTCCCCCAAGCCTGGTCATCCTCGGTGTCTCCGAGGGCAGTCACAGGGTGATGGGGACTTTACAAGGCACAGCACATCGCTGGTGAGGAAACCCTCCCCTTCCCCAATTCAATAGGAAGGCCAATAAGATGGCCCCAAGGCTGAGGGCCAAGGGCTGCACCAACGCTGCACCAACGCTGCACCTTGGGGAGCTGAGGGCTGGGAGACTTCAAAGCCCTCCGGTGGACGCTGGCTCTGAACTGGCCGCTCACAGGCCCGGGTCAGCTGGCAGCAGGAGGGTTTGTGTTTCTTTTAATATCACTCCCAGGCATTTAACATTCCTCGAAGCTTAAACACAGAAACATTTTCCTTACCAGACTGTGCTTTCTGCTTTGCCAAACATAACCTGGCTTTCCCCCCTCCCCCAACGCCTCCATCTGCTCCTGTCTCCAAGATGTAATGATTTATGCTCTGTTCCCTGGGGCTTGTGTGGCTGACAGAAGTGAGGAGGAAGCAATAGGGCTGGAAGTCCGGGTGGGGACGATGCCATCGAGCCCTGGAATCTGGGTTCTGGAGGGGTCAGAGCCCATGGGACTCGCTGAGTTGGCTGCGCTGGACACTCTTTTTAACTCTTTTATCCCACAGCCACCAATGGCCCAGGGCAGATGGCAGCTGGTCAGGCTTCTTGGCTGGGTATCTCCTGGGGCCAGAGCCCCATCCCTGCCTGTCACTCCCGCCAGCCCAGGAATGTGGAGATGGGACCCCCAGCCTTACCCTGCAGCAAGTAGGTTCCCAGGGCTGAATTTAGAGAGCTCTCTCTCTCTTCAGCTCCCGTTTCCTAAATAATGAATAAAATATTGAAGGACCGACATGTGGTTGCCTGGCAACACCATCTCCTTGGAGACAGTGCTGAATAGTGGGGCACAGGTCCCACAGCACTAGGAAAAAATGTGCTCAGGAACTTGGGGCGACATGAGGCAGATGGCCAGGACCCCACCAAATAGAGCCATCCCCCTTCAAACACTGGAGCTTGAGACAGACGGGGGAAGCAGGAGGCCCACACAGGTCCCCGAGGGGGAATGCTACCAAGAACACCCAGGCAAGAGCCAATTACCAAACTCATCAATGCATCAGAGAACAAACACTTCCTGCAAAAAACACATCCCTCAGCTGTCTGCACCCAGATTCCGTCTGAGGCGACTGTTAGTAAGCACAGAGCCCCTAGTGCCATGGCTCAGTCCCGGTGTGTACCAGTTACTGTTTCCCTTGATTTCATGGTCACAGAATCTACCCCCAAACCCGGCCAGTAGTGTCACGAGCATGAGGCCACACAAGGTGCCAGATGGGACTGTGGACGGCTCCGTGCCTGCCTATGTCTGCATCTTCTTCACAGGTAACTGAACAGCAGCCATCTCCCAAACGGGAAGAATTCGCAGGGATACAGGCTGCAAACAAGGACCCTGTCCCTGCATCCATTAACGGGGCACCAAGAAACACAGCTGAGGCATGTACACTCGTTTTTTTAAACCTCACCTGAGGATATTTTTTGTCATTGCTTTTCAGAGAGAGTTGGAGGGAGGGAGAGAGAGAAACACTGACGTGAGAGAGACACATCAATTGGTTGCCTCCCACACAGGAGATCGATCCTGCAACCAAGGTAAGTGCCGTTGGTTGGAATGGAACCTGAGGCCCTTCAGTCCGTGGGCTGACACTCTAACCACTGAACCAAACAGGCCAGGGAGCCATGTATACTCTTAAAGTGACCAGGACTGACCTAACTGATACCCATAAAACCACCTCTAAGCCAAGGAACTCTAGAGACAGGTAATGCCCAGCAACCCTAGTGACACGTCAGACACCAGCCCTCGGCGACCCAGCAGATCCCAAACCCTCCAAATCCTGGGGCCTCACACCTCTTACAACAGACACTGCTAATCAAATGCAGCACTCATGGATATAGCCTCAGGATCCTTCTCAACACAGTGCTCCTGGAAAAAGCCACCAGTAGACTAGAGTTAGGAAGTGAAAAGAAAGGGAGCTGTCCATCCTGCAGGAGTGTGGATGAGCCACCTGAGCCAGGTGTGGAAGCCGAGGAGCCGGGCACACACAGGTGTCTGGGGCTAGACTAAGAGGTCTTGTCCAGCAGGAGAGAACCACCACGTTGGGAAACTTTTCTCAAACCGGCTTTGAATCTGAGTCACAAAAGGCCAAGCACCTTGACCCAGAAGGGAGACGAGGATGCTCTCCCAAGGGCACCTCCTACTGGCAGCTCCCCAAGCCCGGCCCTGGTGCCCCGGCTGCATCCGGACTCTCACCTGGATCTGCCCTTTGCCCATGATCTTGTCCACGATCTCATTGTTGTCTTTGTTGACCTTGGTCTTGTCATAGCACTTCTCGTAGCACAGGATCCTCAGGGACTGAGAGCCCTCCAGCTCAATCTCAAATTCCTAAGGAAAGATGGAACGAGGGTCCTGAACCCCTGACGCTGGGAGACAAGGTTTCCTGGCAGGTAGGGGCCCCAACTTTGCAAGGCTGAGAAGGGGGTGAGGAGGGCCCGCCAGGCATGGAGGAGCACCCTCACTCTCTGGAGCTCCAGAGGCCTCCAAATCACTGAGCAAGTGAGGACTGGGGCCTGAGCTCAAAGCCAGGGTCTGGACATAAGCAGGAGATCAGAAGTCCAACGAGGAGGGATGAAGGGCAGAGGGGTTAGAGGGACAGAGCTGGCCCAACCATCCCCAGCCAACAGGACAGGAGCACCGGGAGTGCAGTGGACATGGTTGATGACAAGCTCAGGGGACCCTGTGGGGACACCAGCCCCCTCCACTCACCTCGTCCCACTTGGGCTCTGTCGTATCCCGAAATACCCTGGTTTTGGCTTTGCTGACAAAATAGCCAAAGGAATCCACCTCCAGGGTACAGTACAGGTCTGTGGCGGGGACAAGCAGAGACACATCGAGTGAGGCCCAGGAACTCAGGAGGAATAGGGGTTTAACACATCTGTCCCTCCCAACACCCCAGGGGCTGCCCTCGGGTCCCTCCGCACAGCCTTGTGAGTCTGGCTTCTTCTTGCTCCTCTTAGATGGCGCTGCCCTCCTGCCTCCGTCACCACTCTCAGGCCACACTGGTCTACTCCCTGAACATGCCCAGCTCTCCCTCCTTAGGGCCCTTTGCCCCTGATCATTGCCATCTCACCACTGAGGCCTCATGCCATGTCTTCACTGACCACACCGACTAAAGGAGCCTCCCCTCCCCTGCCCTAGCCACCCCAGGTCCCTTAACAGGGCGTCACCAGCATTCGAGGTGGGAGTCTCTGGAGGGCATTTGGCCTCTGGGGGCTGAGAGCTGGAGTAACCCCCGGTCACTGAGAAAACCAAAAGTGCCTCCCACATTCCAAAAGCTCAATCTGTTGTTTTCTTCATAGCACTTAACTTCAACTGAAGTTGTCTTTTCTTTCTTGTCTCCCTCCCCCTCACTACATCAACACCACACAGCAGAAGCCTTGTTTTCTTAGCCACCGGTGTGCCCGTCATACTAAGAACAGGGTTTGCACACACTCAGAGAAATGATGCTCTAAAGGGAACAGCATGGGCTTCTGCAGTGGAAGCCACGGATTCTACTCCACCCCCCGTGTGACCTGCCTGTGCCACCCTGGGAAAATCTCTGAGCCCTCGGGGCCTCAGCTTCTTCAGGTAAAATGAGAATGATATCAGTGAACTCAGCAGGCTGTCAGGAGGATCTGAGCAGATAATACACACTGGCATTTCCGCCAACACCTAGTAAGGTACCCAGGCACACAGTAGGTGTCTGGAAATGACCTACTTATGTAGGCATTTCTGAGCTCCCATTCACAGAACAATAAAGGACATGTGGTTCCTGCCCTCTAAGAACTCACAGTGGGGAGGCAAATTTTAAGTGACAAAACAGTATGACAGGAGCTGTAACCATGGTGTGCCCTGGGGTGATGGGAACACAGAGAAAGGAGGCCGATTTAGCCCAGGGACTCGGGCTTCACGGTAAATGGTCATTGAACGTGCTTGTGAGCCAATGGCATGACACCTTCGCGGTGCACTGCACAGGAGGGGCAGAGGGCAGGCCTCACCCACCAGTGAGGAAGAGAAGGGAGTGGGAAGGGGCTGCCTGAGAGGAGAGGACTCAGAAGCCCTGGGTTTCTTATCCTGTGCGATGCTAAGTCCTTTAATCTCTCTGTGACTCAGTTTTCTCATCTGGCAAATGGAAAGAAACTATCACCTGTCTGACTCACAGACTCCTACATGAGAAAAATTAGATAAACACTGCATGGATCTGGTAGATGGTAATGAAGAAGGGAGGAAAGGTGGGGTGTGGCAGTGTGCTGGTGCTGCGCAATCATGGTCCTATTTCAGCCTGCTCTCAGGTCAGTATTTACAAGTGAGATTGCCTTCTTTGGAAAAAGCAGCTGAGGTTCAGAGAGGGTGAGAGACTTGCCCCAGATGACACAGCTTGTAGTCAGCAGATGTGGGGCTGGAGTCCAGGAATTCAGATACCTGGAGGTAGGGAAGGGCGAGAACCATGCCCCTGCCAAGAAGAGCTGGTTCTAGGCCTTTGGGGGAATGCCCCACATCTCAAGGAAGCTGGCAAGGCCCCAGCCTGGAAGACCAGACCAGAGCAAGTGGGCAGTGGGAAGCCCTATGCAATGGGTCCATAGGGACTTTCTGTGACAGGATGAACAATGGCCCCCCGGCCTCTTCCTAGGGCTGGTAGTCAGGGACACTTACTTGCTGACTGCTTAAACCCCTTGGCAGAGTGGACAATGACATGAAGGAAGCCATAGAGCCCTGGAGACTCGTCATCTGCAAGAGAGAAAAGTCCCCGGGGGTTGAGAGGCTCCTCTGTTTCATCCCCTCCTCACCCTAGACTGGCTGGGAGGCAGAAAGGGTGGGAGATACAGCGAAGCCTAGGCCTGACAGCACCACCTGGTGGCCGGATGAAGAAGTTTCCAGAGCCCACTGCTTCCAGGACCATGAGCTGGTGCCCCTTCTCCCTCCACTCAGCCTGGGAAGCCAGTCCACGGACCTTCCCTCCTGGACCAAGGACTTTGTACTGTTCCCCAGGGACACCTTCCCTCACCCTCTGAGTCCTGCTGTCCAGTGGCTGCCCTTTTAAATTTAGCCTTTCAAAGTAAAAATTAACCAATATAAGTCACTCTGTGCCAATGGAAGAGAAGGTCCATCTCTGCCTCCTCTTTGGGACACAGGAGGCAGATGACCCTCATATGCACAGGAGAGCCTGTCTTCAAAACCCCTTTCCAGCACCCATGGGCAGCCAGATTCTACCCATTCTAGGCGTTACCAGCCCTGATCACAGCTCTGCCCTGCTCAAATACTTCCCATAGGCTCCTGGACTTGAACAACAAATTCCCTTGCTTGGCACTGAAGGCCTTTGAAGATTGAATTCCTGAAAACTTCTGGCTTTATTTCTCATACACTATTCTAATCCATCTCCCCTTCCTCCTACCCCCACCCCCGGCCCCATGCTTCTCTTTTGTTTCCATTATCTGACTACCTCGTAAATATATTAATGACACAATCCCAGTGTACCAGGTGCCAGATTCTTCTCTCAAGCCAGAGGGGGCCAGGGAGGAGTTGGGGCCATTTAGGAAATGGAAAACCCCTGTTCAAGCTTCCTGTGTACCTGGCAACTGAGTCATCCCAGCCTCGCTGAGCAGAGATCGGCTATTTGTGGCCAAGTGCCTGGCTAGGTCCTTGTGGAAGGCCCCAGCAATATCCTGGGGGATTTGACCTGCTGATTGGGCAACCCTGGGTTCTAGATCTTACCATCTTTATTGCTGGTGACAGGAATGTTGTGTACAGTCCTAAGTTTGAAACAGGATCCCGTGAGCACCTGGAGCTCCACTGAGCTCAGGACAAAGGCCTGGAGATCTGCAGGAAGAGTCAAAGAGAGAGGGGAACGTCATCACAGGTCAACCAGGACCTGCTGCTCTCTCTGGGGGCTACAGCAGGAAAAAACCAACTTAGTTCTAAGGGCAGAGCTGGTCCTTGGAGGAAAGGGAAAGCCTTGTGAACCCTCACACGAGGAGAGTTGTGGGCACTGTCAGAGGGGTAAGAACGGAAGAGTCTAACTGGAAAGACTCATGTATGAGTGTATGAGAGAGGAAGAGAGAGAGATACGGACACAACCCTCGGCTCTGGGTCGAGTCCTATTGCTAATTCATTGTATGCCTTAAGCAAATCACAAATTCTTTGGGCCTCAATTGCTCAGTCACATCAACTAAGTGCCATCAGCCCAGGCTCTTTGTCCAGTGACTGAGGGCTGAGTAGGAGATACGGGACATGAGAGTGCTTGGGGATACAAAGGCCCGCTGCTGCTATGGACCCATGAGAGCAGGGTAGAGTGGGGCAGGACTTACCCTTCTTCTGTAGTTTCTGAATTGCTTCTCTCCACTCAGACCTTTCATAGTCCGAGGACAGTAGGAACAGGTAGCTCTGAAGAGAGGAGATGACAATTCAGTGGAGTGGCCATAGCTAGAGCAAGCACGTTCCTACATTCCGGGCCTCCAATAAAGCTCCTTCTTACCCAGGTACCTCTAGGCTTTCAGAAGGAGGTAATGGGGAGGAGGGCCTCCTTGGGAAGCCAAGTGACAGGAGTGGCAGTGCCAGTGATGGCCAGCAGAGGGCACTAGCTCCATACCAGGGGGGAGAGGGAGTCTAGGGCCGGAGCCATGGCAGCCTCCTTGAGAATTGGGGGCCTGAGTCCCTGATTCCCACCACACCAGGGCCAAGAGCTACAGAGAGTGGGCAGCCCTGGACTGAGGAAGGGGGCTGCCTTTGTCCCATCCCCACCCTTCCTGACCTTTCCATTCCGATTGTGGATCCGAAATGGGATTGTGGGGGAATTGAGCAGCAATAAGAACTCATTTTCAAACATCTTCTTCTTCAGGCGCTCGATGGCCCGGCTCTGTCCTTTGTTGGCTTTCTGCAGGGGATGGAGGACACAGATGGTTCCCTCACACTCAGACTCCACTTCCCACTAAGCAGCTCTAAGTACAACTTTCCTCCATGTGTTAATCGTGTCTTTTCTTTTTCAATTTTTTTTTTTAAATCCTCACCCAAGGATATATTTTCCATTGCTTTTCAGAGAGAGTGGAAGGGAGAGAGAAAGAGTGACATGAGAGAGACACATCAATTGGTTTCCTCCTGCACATGCCCTGGCCAGGGCCGGGGACTGAGCCTGCAACAAAGGTATATGGCCTTGGGCGGAATTGAAATGGGGACCCTTCAGTCCTTGGGCCTATGCTCTAACCATTGAGGAAAATGGCTAGGGCTTTTTCAATATTTTAGGATGCTCTGACATCTTGGGAGGCTTCCTGGCCTGGAGAAAACTGTTCTTCCCAGGGCATGCTAATTCCTAACACAGTAAATGACTCCTCTGTGAATGTACCTTTCATATGCAAACCAGCCAAGCCTGAGGCCTATGCCCAACCACCCACTTGACCTCTCACACATCATTCCCCTGCCCTAAGTCACATAGGACCGGGCACCAGATGACTAGGGACAGCCCCTATAGCCCAGAGCCCTTCAACATTATCCAAACTAGTGAGTCCTAAGCTGTTTCCTGCCCTGCCTTCCTTTCTCTTGAAAAGCACAATACAGGCTCTGGGCCCCGTTTTCCCAAGCTCCTTCTGCCTCCTGACCAAACCTGGTGCTTCCCCATGTGGCCCTGCGTGATGTGGCATGGGTCTTTCTCTTGGGGGCTATAATTAATAAAAATCTTCTTTCGGTAGCATGTTCCTCTTCATTCACCTCTAGAAATTAAATCCCAGGTAACATCAAGATACCCTGCTTAAAAATCTCAGACACCTTTCAGCATAAAGCCTAAATTCCTGGCCTGGTGCACGGGGCCTGCCACGGCTGGGTCCCAGCCTCCATGCCCTGCCTGACATCCCACCATGCCCCACCCTGCACCCTCTACCTCAGCCAAATGGTGCTATTCCGTTCTCTGACAAGCCATTCCCTCTAGTCGGACCCCTCCCCTTTTAATAACTACTATCACGCTGAAGTCTTGGTTCCAGTGCCGTCCTCAACCACCGCAGTTGAAATTCATTTCTGCAGCATTATTTTACCCACTAGACCAGCAAAACTGTAACAACGGCTCCCAGCCAGTGTTGTGACATTGTGGGAGATCAGTGCCTCTCACGTACTGCTGGTGGGAGCATAATTGAATGTGACCTTTTCAGAGGTAAACCTGGCAATTAAATAGATAAGCCCTTTGCCCCAGACATCTCCCTTGTAGGGAATCTACCAGAGAGAAGAAATATGAGTGTGGTGATGTTTACTGCAGACTCGCCTGTGAAGAGTAAAGAACCAGAAACAACCTAAATACCCAAACATGTTGTGCAGACAAGCAACAGAAAAGGGTGCAGCTGTTAAAAAAAATCTGATGGACCCAAAGAGTGCCAAGGTGCGCTATTAATAAGTGAAAAGCTTAAATTGCAAACAGCACTTGTAGCCTCATCGCATTAAAATATACACAGATGTGTGTGAGCATCCAGTACAAGCACAGAAGAGTCTAGAAGAATACACCTCAAACTGTTAACAATGGGGGTGGGTGATGATCAGTTTTACGCTACACGCTTTGGTATCATGAGCTTTCCTTATAACAAACCAGGGTTACATGGGTGATAAAAAAATTTTAAGTTTAAAAAAAGTTATTAAAAAAGTAAATCACTGCTTCTTCTGTGATTCAGAGAAGGACATTGTGGTGCCTCTCATCACGTGTGTCACACGCACGGTGAGTAATGGGCCTGTCTGCCTTCTCCAGCCCACGAGGAACTCTGGGAGGCATCTGGCACGGCCCCGCAGCCAGCAGCCACGGATCAACTTAGCAGAAGGCCACACCTACACCCTTGGGGCAGGAGGGAAAGCACAAAGCCTGCGGCTCCCAGGACCAGGTGAGAAACATGCATGTAGGATGCCCCTAGGGTGGGGATGCCAGGCAGGGAAACAGGCCCCACTGAGGCAAGATGGAGCCTGGCCATTCAGGAGGGGGACACCTGTGCTGGTCAGGTTGTTTCTTCTGGACAGATACAACCCATCAGACCCTCAGTCCTAAACACCCCTGGGGTTATTACTGTGGTCTTCTCCCCTGTTCAAGGAAAGATGTCTGAGTTGAAAGGCTCGTTCGAGGCCATCTGCTCTTGTATTCCTCAAGAATTGTTCATGAAGCAATTATTTATTAGGTGTCAAGTACTAGTTATGTTCATAACTGAATAAAACAGTCCCTTGCTAGAGTTCAAATCCTAGTGAGTAAAGGAAAAAGCTGACCATGCAATTATAAATCAGCGCCCATAAAGCAAAGCAAAGAGGCAAACATCAAGAACCAGGAAGCAGGGCACCCATCCCAGACTGCTGTGGGTGGACATCAGGGAAGGTTCCCCAGAGGAAGTGAGGCCCAAGCAGAGCCTGGATAGGTGAGGAAGAGACCAGGCCAACCAAACAAGCCCCTTCATGCCCTGCCTGCCATTTATGGGGAAAGCTCCTCCTGGTGCTTTCCTTTAGCCACTGCTTTCAAATATATGAATTTAAGGCTATGCATTTTCCTGTAAATAGCACTTTGGCTACATCCCATGGGTTCTGATATGTAGTGCTCTCATTTTCATGCAGTTCTAAAGAGTTCGCAGTTTCAAGTTTGATTTCCTCTGTACCCTGAAAGTTTTAATTTTCTAGGCTTACTCTTAACTATATTTCTAGTTGTTGATTTCTAATTTTCTTGCACTGTGGTCTGTGAACATGACTGGTATGCTAACTTTTTTTTAAATTTGAAATTTCCTTTGCAGCCTAATGCATGTTAAATGTTTGAATATTTTGCATGCATTTGACAAGAATCTCAGTTCTCTGTGAGGGCACAAGTTTCTGTGCATTTTTAGATCAAGTGCGTTGTGATATTCAAGGCCCCTCTCCTCACTGTTCCTTCTTGCCAACTTGGTCTGTCAGTTTCTAAGAGGCTTCTCAGGTCCTCTCTCTCATACATATCCTGCTTTTCCTTAAGAAGGCCTGTTCTCTTGCTTCCCTTTTCTATAGTGTTTGATATATACTGTTTTCCAGGAAATTTTCCATAATTAACCCCACTAAATTCTGAGCCCTGACTTCCCAACTCTCCCTCCATCTGCTCAGTGCTAACCTGCCATGATCAAAGTCCTTTCCTCTGCATGTGTATGCTTGAGGCCTCCTGCTCTTTCATCTTCTCCTTATCAGACTCCCAAGCCTTACAACCTCCCCTCCCCGCAGTTCTAGATACATCCGGTTCAAAGGGCCCAAATAAAAACAGCCAACTTTTCTGTCCCAGCTCAGGTGCCAGGCTCTGCTCACCTCCTTCTGGATTTCACTCTTGAGGGCGGAAATCTTCATTTTCATGTCCTCCAGCTCATGGTCTGGGAAAGGGTGCACATGGGGGCTGGCCTCAGACTCCTCCGGGGATGGAAACACGAGGTCAGCTAGAGGGATGTACCATTTGCAGTCATATTGCTGGTGCTTCCTGCATACAAGTCAGAGGAAAACATGAGCCAGAAGGAACGTGGCTCTTTAAGCCTGAACTGCTGGACCCAAAAACCACAGAAAAGGGTTTACTGAGAACTTGTCACAGGTAAAAATGATCCCTTGTCCCTGGAGTGGCCCAATCAGGGAAAACACACATGGAGTAATGACAGGGCCAGGCAGTAGTCAGTCCTTGAGGACTCTGGACCTTGGCCTCGCCAGTCTTCTGGTCCAGTATGACTGATGTTTTTAAGCATCCCACACCTCTAAGGTAGGCGCAAGACTGGGCTCACGCTTTCCCATTCCCCACCTCACACTCTCCCCTTCCTCCCAGCCTGTCCACACTTAGCTCATACCATTATCTTTTAGGCTGGAGATGGAACGCAAATGTGAACTCCGAATGCCAACTCTGAGCCACAGAGGTCACATGGGGTACTGGGTGGAGGATTATAGAGCCACATTCAAGCCCAGTGTGCAATAGTGCCAAGGTTCATTAGTAATGTCTGCCATGGGCAGAGGACTGAGGGCATACGTATGTTTGCTTATGACTGCCATCTCTGCCTTAGAATCATCTCAGGTCTAGTTCCAGGGACTCATCCCCTTTACTGAAGCTCAAGACAACCTCTCCTCTCTCGCTTCCCCCAGGACTGAGGATTGCACCTCTCCTCTCTCACTTCCCCCAGGACTGAGGTTTGCATCTCTCATTCTGGTCTCTTGGTGTTGCAGTGAGCACATGGTGTGTCTCCCCTGAACTGTAAGCTAGCGTACTTGGCACACAGTAGGTGAAAGAATGTGGGACAAACCCTGAATAACCTTTTCTGCTCACGGCGCAAAGTGGGCCTGTATCACTAAATACAGAGATGGAGGTGGAAAGAAGCTTTCAGGTCAGATTCAGGTTCAAATCCCATCTCCTCCACTTCTAGTTATGAGACTTTGGGCAACTTATTTAACTATCCTAAGTCTTTTCTCTCATCTGTGAGATGCGGATAATAATACCTACTTTATAGAGTTGTTGGGAAGATTAGAAATAACATAGTCAAAGCATTTGTCATGACACCTGGCCCGGCAGAACCACTCAACAAATGACAGCAGCAGATTTAATGAATATTCACTGACTCGCAGTTAGCAAAAATGCAGAGATGTCTAATAAAAGAAGAATGCTTAAGTAAATTATGGCATATCCACTAGTAACATCATGCAGGAAAGTAAAATGATGATTATGAAGATTAGGCAGCAACAGGGAAAATGCTTATGACGTGAAATGGAAAAAGCAGTGCCCCAAATTGGGTATTCACTCTGATTACAAGGGTAGGAAAAAACATAAGAACATTAAAAAAACTGGAAATATAGCAGCAGGAGACCGCTGCTTATGTTTGGATGCGTGATGGGTTTTTCTTTTTTTGGTCTGTAGTTTCATTATATTACCTTTATAATTAAAAACATAATTTATTTTTAGAAAAAGGCTATACAGTAAAATAGAATTAATTAATATGTTTTTAAAAAGGAAAAAATACGCAGATTGCCCCAGGTTGCTAAGGGGTTCCACAGGAGGCAGGATCTAGTTCCTCCCCAACTTTGCACCCTGGACTCATGCAGACTCACCCCGCAGATGTCTTCTTTAGCTTGGCGCACAGTAGGACATCTGTAAAGAGGAAGACGTGCCGCAGCTTCCGGGAGCCCTCCGACACTTCCACCAGGAAGCCATCCTTCACCAGCTGCCGCGTCTGAGGGAGATGGCACACCACCCAGCCTGCTCAGGGGGAGTCAGCCCAGGGCCCAGCCTGCACTAGGGGCACCATCCAGTTGGGGGGTGGGTGGCAGGGAGGGGCCATAGGCCTGGTGGTTAAGAGCGCTGGCTTTGGGGTCACATGGACGTGGGCTTGAACCTAGACTCTGCCACTTCCCAGCTGTGATCTTGGGTGAGTTCCCTGACCTCTTTATCTCCGTTAAACGGGAGGATAATGACTGCTGCATATACAGAAGCAATCAAAATGGTATATGCAAATTGGCAGTGCCCAGCACATCCTGTGTGATCAACATAGGGTAGCTTTGCACTTCTCCGCAGCTCTCATAGCTCCCACCTGGATGGACCCTAGCTCAGGATGACCTGGTTCCTCTACCCTGGAGCTTGCACACCACCCCCACCCCATAACCCCACCTAGAGTTGTTATAGTTTCAGTTCAACTCAACCTGCAGACCCTCTCAAGCCTGTTGAGTAAATTCTTCAACCACCCCCAGAAGGATGGGAGGCCTGGGCTACCCTCTGTGGGGCGGTACGTGTGTCCTCGGGAACCTCAGCCATCTCCCACCTGGGCTCTGGATGGCCAAGAGCACTGTTCCACGCAGAACTTCCAGTTTCCTCCCTGCCGCCCTCAGGAGCAGTAGAACCCCAGGGCTGTCGCAATCTGTCCAGCCTTCCTTGTATTATATACCGTGTGAGCTACACATGCTACAACACGTAGGCGAGCATGTTGAAAGTGTACCATCGAAACCATCTGAAACTGACAGTGCTGTAAGCCCTCTGGGGAGCTTTCAGCTATCCCGAGTCACACAAACAAGTGACATGCCAGGGTTTGCAAACCAGGGCTGGGAGCTGTGCGCAGGGACAGCTCTCTGTGCCCATTAGTCACTCTCTAGATCCTGTCCCTCATTACTTCCCTCCCCAAGAGACACTGGGGACTCATAAATGTAACAAAGGAGCTTAAACCCAGCAAGCCTGCACTCCTAAACACCACTTAATTACCTCTCCTGCACAGGAAGCACTCTATGTGGGCCAGGCGGCTGACCCATGCCGGTAACTGTTTCTCTGATTCTTCAAATTGCTTCCCTTC